GGGGGGGGGGCGGCTACGCGGGCCCTAGCGTGGACGTGGGGGCTCTCTGCCTGCCCCCCGCGGGACGGGCAACCTCTCCTTCTCTGGGGCTGCTCCAAGCAGAGCTGGCGAGGTGTGCAGTGAGCCCGGGAGAGTTTTCACGGCCTTTCTTTGGTGTGGGGGTTTTATTTTTTTGTTTGATTTATTTTTGTTTGGTTGGTTTTGTCTGGTTTTTTGTTTGTTTGTGTGTTTGTTGGTTGGGTTTTTTTTAATTTTTTCGGGGAGGCTTTTTCCACCAGGCTGCAGATCGCCCTTCTCCCACGTATCTCTAGCCGGTTGGTAACCACTGACCTTTATGAATGCCATTCCCCTCAAAAGCGCGTTCCTCGCCGCTGGCCGGCCAGCTTTGGCCGACAGTTTTGCGTGACCCTGTGCGGAATTCGCATCCGTCCCCAAAACTCTGCCGTCGAGTTTCGCCCCCCTCCAGCGCGACGCCCGGCCATGCAGCCCAGCGCGGCTGCTCTCCCTCCTAATTAAGCGACAACGCGGACGTTCAGAGCCACCCGGAGTAACTCTCCCGAGTAGCAAACCGTGAAGAATTTGCTCCTCTTTTCCGTGTAAACGCGAGCATTGCCTAAAAGCGTTTTTGGCGAGGTGTAACTGGAAGTAATCCTGCCACTCGCCTCCCCTCCGCCCTCCCCCCCGCCGACAACGGTACCCCAGCTTTCCATGGGTGCCCCCCTCCCAAAATGCTTATTTTAGTGCAGCGCAAACACCAGTAAACACGGGGATGCCCGCGGGTCCCGGCAGCTGGACGGCAGCGCCGTCTCCCCGAAACGGCTCCGCATCGAAAAGAAGCGAAACGCCAGCAGATTCGGGCCGATTTTGACTTTCCAGCCCGCCCCCCCCCTCCCCCCCCAGCTCTGCCCGGTCCGTCGGCGTTTCTTTATCGGAAAGCCCTGCTCTTTAGCGGAGCCAGGCTCTTTCCGCTAAACGTTATTTGGAGCATATGTTTCGCACATTCATTCTCTTCCAGTCTATTCTCCTGGGCGCTAACTGCTAACACGTTATAGTCACCTTGAAATTTCCTCTGCTATTTTCCAATTAAAAGCTTAATAGCCCTGGAAACGGAGTTCATGTGGCGCAGTTTACCATAGCCCCTTCTTCTGAAAAGCTTTCTGCTGGGATCCCATTATGTGCTTGAATAAACCTTTTCTGCGAGCAGAAATGGGAACCGGGGTTGTCAGGTGTTGGGTTACAATAGACTTTCAGGCAGGGGACGTTTTGCGAACATAAATACGAACCGGGCCCTATGGGGAGATGTTGTCAAATACTCGGACATGGAAAACATTCCCATCAAATATGAGAAAAGGATTACGGCACTATATATCAAACGAGCCATTTCAGCCTGAACGCCCGTGTGCAGCCAAGCGAGAGGAGAGAGGGGGGCCCCCGGCCCCAAGCCAGCCCGCCGCCGCGTCGGCCCGGCCCGGCACGGCATGGCCCGGCCCGGTCCGGGAGCCGGCAGCCGCCCGCCCGTCCTCCCGCGGTGGCGGAGGTGGCGGAGCGCCCCGCGGACCCCGCTCCTGCTCGTGGTGGTGGCGGGGACGACGACGACGACGACGGGGACGACGACTTCGCACCCCGGCGCCCCCTCCGAGCCCGCACTCGCACCCCGCTTCTTCGTTTTGAGGGAAGGGGTCCTTGGGGGCGGCCGCACATCATCTCTAACGCGCCCCTTTCCCTTTTGAGGTGGTTGAGTATCTGTTCGGTCGGCGGGGGAGGCGCCGCCGGTGTGTTTCTCTCCCCTCGACGTGGACCCACGAGTGTGTAAGACCCTCGCCAGAGAAACGGAGACCCCACCGGCTCTGCGGGAAAACGGACGGTTCCCCACACCGGATCCCGCTCACCTCCTCGCCTTGGTGCCGTTAATCGGCATCAAAGGGGGTTCCCGATGGGGCTTTCATCCTCCCTCACATAGCCCCGGGGAGAAAGATCTCTGTGAGTCCCTCTTCCCCTAGAAGTAGAAAAGTAATTAGGAAAGAGAGAAGTGATGAATGTATCACGCAAATACCTTCGTGGCACACACTATGCTTTTTCATTCTCTCCGTCGAAATACATCCCAAGTTTTAAATCTGATTTTCTAATTACATACCCTCGTTAAATGGTTTATTTCGTAGAAGGGTTACAGGGAAGAGGTGCCTGAGAAGAGATCTTTGGGCAGCGAAACGGGTTCAAGTGCGAATGGCATCCCCTGCGGACGCTGTGCCGCTGGGTACCGCTGCGCAGGCAGATAAACGCAGTGAATTTGTTCCCCACTCCCTCCCACCCCACCCCCCCGCCGATATTCCTATACCTTCTTTCACTAATATCTGGATTCACTAATTACATTTGGATTTAAACTTCTCGCTGCCCCATTGGAAATACCTGCGTTTCAGCGAGAAACCTCCTCGTGGTCGGAGATACAGAAAATTACCACCCCTCCGCATCGAACACATCAAATAAGTTGCAAGCAGTTCGGCTTGCCCTGAATTAGACGTGCCTTTCGATAGCCACCGTCTGCATTGAATTCGCTGCCTTGGCGATGGAGGCAGGAGACCCCCGCGGACAGCGCGGGAAGGGATGGGGGGATGGA